TATATGAAATTACGGTAAATATGACCTACCTAACTATACATTTTGCTTAACTGTTACTATTAAATTTGTTAAAATATTTTTACGTCTTATACCTTTCACTTAATATCTGTATCCTTTCATATTCAGAAATAAGTTGAAAAATTATTATTTCAAACAAACCAGAGAAAATCAAGAAAATCTTAACTAAATCAACTCAATTGGAAAATAATATAAGATTTTTTCGCACAACCACAATAAGAATATAAATTTGATTTAGCGGACATTATCACACTTACCATGTCAGTTCCCAAATCGATGCACAAAATGGTAACGGTTCCCAGTGGCAGTGGTATGTCGCAAAGGATGAAAGCCAAGAATGGTGAAATTTCGGGAATATTAGAGGTGAGTGTGTAAGCAATGGATTTCTTTAAGTTATCGAAAATCAGTCGACCCTCTTCAACACCAGTCACAATCGAAGCGAAGTTATCATCGAGCAAAATCATGTCAGCAGCCTAAACGGCATTGAAATATGGTTATATCACACTCTCTTATTTTATATTATAAGTACATATGTATATATGTATAAAAACATTTTTCTAAATTCCCCAAGATTTCTACGCTCAGCAGGATTGCACCCCTCTTCACATNCTTATTTTATATTATAAGTACATATGTATATATGTATAAAAATATTTTTCTTAAATTCCCCAAGATTTCTACGCTCAGCAGGATTGCACCCCTCTTCACATCACTCACCTGCTTGGACACATCAGAGCCGGCTATACCCATAGCAACACCAATATCAGCCTTCTTCAACGCCGGAGAATCATTTACACCGTCACCGGTCACAGCCACAATAGCACCCATACGTTGGCAACCCTCTACAATAATCAGCTTTTGCTGAGGCGAGGTACGTGCGAACACGATCTCAGTGTGATAGCGCAGAATTTCATCCAACTGTTCGGGTGTAACATCACGTAATTCAGCACCATGCACAACAGCTGCCTTGGCTTCACGTGGGTTAACTTCCGAGACAGGGATATTCAAACGCTGTGCGATATCCTCAACAGTTTCATTGCCCTCCGAAATGATACCCACCGATTTGGCTATAGCTTTGGCAGTGATCGGGTGATCACCAGTCACCATAATAACCTTAATACCAGCTGAACGGCATTTAGCGACGGCATCGGGTACAGCAGCACGCGGAGGATCAATCATGGACATAAGACCAACGAAACGCAAGTTGTCAATGGGGAAATTCACGTCGTCGGTGTTGAATTTAAAGCCAGTGGGATATTTATCGGAGGGCAGCATAAAGTCGCAGAAACCGAGCACACGCTCACCCAAACCACCAAGTTCCATATACGCATTATTGAAAGCCTCTTTCATCTCTTCATCCAATACTTTTTCCTTTCCGTTAATGAAAATAGTCGCGCAGCGTTCAAGGATACGTTCAGGAGCACCCTTCATGACAAGCAAATAGCGAGGATCGCTGGGATCTTCGGTTTCATGGATGGAGACTTGGTATTTATTGGTGGAATTGAATGGAATTTCAGCAATTTTGCGGTTACGTTTACGGATATTCATCACATCACCGAGCGCCAATTCCATGCACTTAAGCAGCGCAGCCTCGGAGGCATCACCGCTAACTTCTTTCTTCAAAATTGGTACACCTTCTTGACCGCCCTTAAATTCAGCACGATTACAGAGGGTAGCAATGCGAGAGAGCGCCTTGAAGCCAGGGCTGGTTCTATCGTATTGCACACCCGACTGATCTTCAGTTGTATCGGCCTCAATAATTTGGTTATCGAACCACATATGGGCGACGGTCATACGATTTTGGGTGAGGGTGCCGGTCTTATCGGAGCAAATGGTTGAGGTTGATCCCAGAGTTTCGACAGCTTCCAAATTCTTTACCAAGCAATTCTTCGATGCCATACGTTTGGCAGTCAGTGTCAGACACACTGTCACAGTGGCTAGCAGACCTTCAGGCACGTTCGCTACAATAATACCAATCAAGAAAATGACAGCATCCAACCAATGGTAGCCCAAGATGAAGGCGATGACGAAGAAAGTCACACCCAGGAACACAGCGACACCGGTGATCAAGTGAATGAAGTGGTGAATTTCCTTAGCGATGGGAGTCTCGCCAGTATCCAAACCAGAAGCCAAGCCAGCAATACGACCCATCACAGTATGATCACCACAGCTGATGACGACACCTTTGGCGGTACCCTCGACAGCGTTGGTAGAAAAGAAAGCCAAGTTTTTAGTTTCCAATGGATTTTCGTGTGTGAACTCAGGACCACGTGATTGTGGCTCCGATTCGCCAGTCAATGATGAGTTGTCCACTTTAAAGTTGCGCGCCTCAATGATACGTATATCAGCGGGAATACGATCACCGAACTTCACTTCAACCACATCACCCAACACTAAGTCTTCGGCGCGTAAGGTAAGCTTTTCACCTTCACGAATGACAGTGGCAAATTGGGGCACCATGTTTTTGAACGATTCCATAATCTTTGAACTTTTCGATTCCTGCGAGGAGATAAGCGGAATTAAAGTACATATGTATTTATCAAATGTCAATCTTTGCCATCTACCTGATAGTATGAGAAGATACCAGTAACTATAACTACAGCCGAAAGCACAATACCCAAGTACAAGTTATCGTCCGAGGGCTCCTCGCTAGTACTGGCCTGAATGGAATAGGCCACGAAGCAGAGTATAGCACCGATCCACAGCAACATGGCGAAACCGCCGAATAGATTCTTACAGAATTTTACCCATTCAGGTGTTTGTTTGGGTGGTGTGAGCGCATTCGGACCATCTCGTTCTAGATTCTCCTTGGCCTTAGCGTGACTTAGACCCTGGTAGGAGTAGACAAAATTAAATATTTGGCATTTGTTCGTTCGCTTGATTCTCTTACATTCTCTGGATGCGTCTGAAATCGCTGATAGAGCTCCTCAGGAGTGATTTTATGAAAATCGATATCTAACTCCTGTTTGAGATCGTCAAGATTCTCCTTCTTTTGCGGTTTAGGTGGCATCCTGCGTTTTGACTGTGGGAGAAAAGAGGGAATATATATATATATACACACATGTTTGAGAGTGAAAAGGCAGAGATACAGAAGGATTTTCAAAACACTTTCCGCCCCAACACCACTGAAGAAAATGTCCAAGGAAACCGATTGTTTAATCTACATTTTTTTTTATTTTTTTTATTGTTTCACTTCATGCCTGCTGTTGTGTTATTTACTTTTTAACGCGCTTTACTTTATGTATGCCTGTGTGTGTAGATGTCCTTCCTCGAAGCACTTTGTGGGCAACGAAATGTAGATTGAAATAGCGTCAATTGTTAGGTTTTAGTTAAGTAGATTTATTGTTTACTGAACCAATACCGTTAATTTTAGCCAGAGGCTAGTGGATTAATGTATTTTCGATAAAAAAAAAAGTACCTTTAATTATACGCCTAGCATGATGTTAAATGTATTTCAACTATACACTTTTCGGGGAAAGCTACACTACTTACTTACCACGAATTGACATGCATATGCTGTTAAGAAAGCGATTAAAGCATGTTAGTATAATGTAACGATAGTCAAAATGGATTTTAGTAAGTACATAGGGATTAAGCAAATTCATGAATGGATTAGGAAATAAAATTCAAAATAAAGAAAAGCACACCAAAATTTGATTGGTTAATAAGAGAAGTAAACATTTTCATTAAAATAATTATAATACAGTACAAGAGAAGCTATAGAGCATGATTCAAAATAAATAAAGATTTGCTCACTAGTGACATTAGAACTTTGACCACTACTTATTTAGAGCAATACAAAATGTGTATTAAAAATTTTCATTTTTGAAAGTGTTGTCTTTTCTTTACATTTCAATCGGTTACTACAACTGTGTGCAGCAAGATTTCCCTATTACAATAAATTTTTGGCTATTTGCGCCTTTTTTAATTAGTAACACACGTCAGCGAGTCAATCAGACAACCAGCCTGCAAGCTAGTCAGTGAAATAGCGGTGCGATGATGCTAAACGCCCACACATTCGCCACCTGTGTCGCCCATGCTTTGCATCCGAAAACAAAATAAAATCGCTCAGGCGCGACAGTTGCAATGTGCCAATGTTTTGCATCTATTTATAAGTTAAAAAAGAAGAAGTAAAGCTAATGAAACGGGCGCGGAAAAATAAAGAAATATGGCAGTAAAAACTGCCCACAGTTGACTTTTGGGTAATACATTGGCAGGTGGAACGTTTACGACGGTGTTGAGGTGCAAACTAGCAAACTATGGAAAACGGGGTATTTTTAGGATAAGTTCAATGAAATTTTGGTTTTTCGGTAATTAAAATGTTTCACTTCTTTTACTTGATGATACAAAAAAAGAAGGTAGTTTCAGTTCAAAATTTTTGTCAAAAAAAAAATAAGTTTTTGAAGTTTCATAACTTGTACAAAATTATGAGCTACTTTGCCACATTGATAGCAATTAAACATTACATTAGAGGACTTAAGGTTGGGTGTGGGAAATGTTCTGTTACTTGTACAATGATTTTTTGGTGGGTGAGTCATCCTGCACCTCCCTGCCCCTTCTGCAGGCGCTCAGAGGCCCATTTCAAAATGGGGTAAAATTGGCATTTTCGCAAGGAAAAATTAAACTCGTGTTAGGCCATCAGCAGTATTTTTGGACAACGCTCGCTTCTTCGTTGGTGGCCTTCGGCT